GATGACCTCGCTGCTCAGCTCCGAGATGTCCACGTTGCTGAAGTCGATGTTCTGGCGGCCGCTCTCCCCGAGGCGGCGGCCCTCGTGCTTCAGCTCCTGCTTGCTGCCGTGGTGGAGGTCGGTTTTGGGGGTGGTGGGTGGGGTGGGTGGCCCGTGGGTCTGGCCTGGGGACGAAGGGACAGAAAGGCTTTAACAAGAGCGCCCGCGAAACAACAGACTCCTTCAAGGAGGATAAAAAAAAAATGCACATTTCTCCCCTTTCTTATTGCAAGAGGGGAAGAGGGATTTAAATCTATGGCCCCGTGTTGGAGGTAGCTGATGTCCCCCTGTGACCATGCCGGGGACCATGTCCTCGGCTGGGGTAAACCACCCGCATGGGTGATGGTTCATAGTGGGGAGGAGAAGCCAGGGAGCGTGCCGGGCTCATCAGGGTCACTCTGGGACACGGCGGGACACCCCTGAGCTGCACGAACTGCCCCTCACCTGGGAAGCAGAACCAGGGGGTGGATTTGGAGGGACCCACTCAGCCCCTCCCCGCAGGCAGCCTGAAGCCAGCCCGGCTCTCCCCGAGGCAGAGAAGCCGTCCCGGCAGAGCGGGCCGGGGCCGGGATCCCCAGCCAGGCTAGGCGAGAGCGCAGACGCGTCTGAAGCTGCAGGACGTTCGCAATCCTCCTGGAATCTGTCAACACGCGCCCTGTGCCAATTCGCAGCGCTGCCGAGAAGCGGGGAGCTTCGGGGGGAAGCCGCGTCTCCAGGACCCGCTCCCCCAGGCACCCTTCACATGGCCAACAGATTATTAACCCTTATCAGCTCGCAATTAATTCTCCCTGCTCCCGGGCCAGCCGGGAAACCAGGATCCCTGCGCTTTGGGGATTTCCTATCGCACAGCCGGCTCTATAAGCATTTACTAAAGAAAAATGTAGCCACGTTCACAACCTGGTGCAAAACCACAGCTCTCGGGGCAACAACTCCTGCTTTTGGATGGCCCCAATCCCACCGATATTCATCCGGGGGGGGCAGATGAGCCCGTGCCCGCCAGCGGGTTCATGTCCCAAACCAACGTGCTCGGGACCTGCAGATTTTTTTGCCCGCAGGGGCCCTTTACCTGTGTGATCGCCGTGATGGTGGGAATCGGCCATGCCTCCCAGCCCGCTGTCCGCTTTGTAGATCTGCGTGCCTGCGTGGTGGCTGAGCTCGGCTCCGGAGTCGGAGTCGCTCTGCCCGGCTTTTACGCTTTTCCTCCTCCGTGGCTGGTATTTATAATCCGGGTGATCCTTTTTGTGCTGGACCCTGAGCCGTTCAGCTTCTTCCACAAAGGGACGTTTCTCGTTTTCACTTAACAAACTGGTTTGGGATGGATTTTTTTTTTTTAAATAAGGAGGAGGTGAAAAAAGAATAATCCAAAATTAATTTATTTTCCTTAGAAGTTTCCAGCCTATTTTCAGACTCACACATCCCCTCTTCCCATACACTGATTCGAGCAACCAGAAAGTTAATTACAAAATGAATTTGCCGTGGCAAAAAAGAGCTAAACTATGTTGCAAAAATGTATTAAAATACCAGCTACAGAGGTGTGAAAAAAGCCAACTACTATGGATACTGATAACTGGGCAAAACAAAATCCCCCTGCCCTATTTTAAATGCCTTTGCCAAATATTATTCCTATGTTTGTCCTACAAATGTCACCCCCTGACCGTGACAAACACCACTGCCCATTTCCAGCTTTGTTTGGTGCTTACAAAGAAACCACGAAGGCAACAGCGATGGGATTATTTCTTTCAAAACTCTCCCCCACCCAGACCTCTCTTTGCAAACTCTCGGAGAGTCTCAAACCGCAGCGGGAGCATCGCTGGCCCAAACAGGCAGGAAAGATGCAAGTTTGGTACAGCCAGACACAACCAAATATACCACACGGTAAAACGTGGCTCGTCGCAGAGCCTTGGAAACCAGAGCGCGCTCAGATACCGCCCAGCAAAAAAAGTTTGCATCGGTGGGCAGCGCTGAGCATGCAAGCACGCAGATAAGAAGGGAAATTAGAGAGCAGCTTAAAATAGCTGCTAAAAATTGGCTTGTTCAGTTTTATAGCTTGTTAAGCGACAAGGAAGCAAGCCAAGGAAAAAAACTTGTAGAAAAAGCCATTGTAAAAGAAGCAAGTAAAAAAAAGTCTCGGTCTCCTGGGGACAGGGACACGGGAAACCCTGGCCAGGAGAGGAAAGGGCCCAGGCCGCGCATCTCAGTGATGGAACAGGGAAAATCCACGCGTGACACAGCGCTGGGGCAGGACCCATCGGCAGCGCTGCGGCCGCGGGCGCCCAGGCCCCTGCACGGGGGCTTAGCGCTGGGGCAGGACCCATCGGCAGCGCTGCGGCCGCGGGCGCCCAGGCCCCTGCACCGGGGCTTTTTCGGAGCAGGGGCCAGCATGTCCTTTGCAGCGTGCCGGCACGCTCGGGGGGATTTCTGCGCTTCGGTTTGAAACGCTTCAAGAATCCCCCGCGCGCAGAGGGCCAAAAAAATAAATGAAGATTAAAGAAAAAAA